TTGGTACCAAAGCACTTTCTGTTTTGGGGATGTCTGCCTGCTGCCTGCACCCTCTGGCCCAGAGGAGACGCTTGGGTTTTTGTGCAGTTGCTAATGCCCAAAGTTTGTACCTGCCTGCAAATATTGACTTGACTTCCAGGATACCAGCCGACCACATTGACATCGGCAACCGTGATTTGGACTTGGCGTTGTAACAATGACATTTTGATGTCACCGCCCTAATGCGATGGGAAAAATAGGGAAGGGGAATGCCGAAAGCTGTGCTGGCTGAACCACCGGTCGTTACCATACACCGTTGCTGGCTAATGATCGCTACCTGGAGGGTTTCTCTAATCACTCGGTAGAAAGTTACGGTGTGGGAAGGTGCTGGGGTTATCGGCAGGTAGCACGACGGGCCTTGGGCAGGCAGGGACATGAATCCAGATCCTTGTCCAGCTCCATAAAGCAGGGCTTGACATGTGATGGTAACAAAATGTAGTGAATAGTTTCTCCTTGTTGTCTCAGGTCCTAATTTTTATTTTCCTCAGCTCACTGTGCTCTGAAAAAACATCACTGCTTTCCAAAACACTTGGAAAAACAGGTTGCTTATGGGCCGAGCATAAACTGGCTAGAATCAACACCGCCAGCGTGGCCGAGGAAAAACGCTGCCGACGTGGCATAGGAAACAGTCTCTCGTTCTCTTTCCCCAGGTTCGAGGACGCCGTCTCTTGTCCATTAAACTGGCTCCTGTGGCTCTAGGTCCTTGTGCTGATACATCTTTGTGCTTGGTTGAGCATGGCTCAGATAATTTCCAAGGGACCCTTCGCCTATGATCTGCTCAAAGAGCCAAGGATCTCTATTTCCTAATGTTCATTTTAGACACAATAGGACCAGAGAATTGGCCAAGAATCCCACACGATAATTTTCTTTCTCCAACTTGTTTGCTTAGCATAAGAGCATGCCATTCAAAAGCTCTTGCCATGACTTTCTTTTTATTTTTGAGACTCAGCAAACTAAATATTCTTTCCATTTTATTTATCTTGAGATGCGGGGGGAGTAGTCATTTCTTAAACTTGTTTCTCCTCTTTTAGAACTGGAATGACTTCATTCTCTCTTTCCAAAGCACCAACTCATTTAGGGATGTGGAGGTAATTTGAATAATGAATTAAAATATTTTTTTCTGAACCACTCAGAAATGTCAGGGTTGGTTCTACTTGTATCCAACAAAATAGATATTAGATCAAACCTCCAATGACAAACCTTCAACTCCCTTCACGGGGGTGCAAAGAGGATGGAGCTGGACTGTTCTCACTGGTGACAGGACAAGGAGCAATGGGCTCAAGTTGCAGCAAGGGAAGTTGAGGTTGGATATTAGGAAAAACTTTCTCACTAGGATAGTAAAGCACTGAAACAGGTCACCTAGAGAGGAGGGGGAGTCTGCATCCTTGGAGGTTTTCAAGACCTGGGTAGACAAAGTCTTGTCTGGGATGATGTAGTTGGGGCTGGTCCTGCTTGGAGCAGGGGTTGGACTAGATGTGATCCCCTGAGGTCCTTTCAACCCTCGTTGTCTGCAATTCTGTTTCTATAACTACACCAGGTCAAACTCATCTCACTCGAGGGGATGCTCTGTATGGGAAACTGTTAGTTTATTCAGCACATCTGCCTTAGATGCAAACAGTGAGGTAAGTGTTGATACAATAAGATCTTGCACTAGTTTTTCATCTCTGGGTGCCCATGTGCTTTTGCTTACGACTGTGCTGAGTTGCTCGAATACATGGCAGACAATAGAGCCATCTCGCCAAATGGGCCGCTGCATTCATACTGTCGTTGTCTCTGCTCCAGGGCTGGAAAAACAGAGCGGCAGCGAGGTGCAGAATTTAGCAACCTGGGTATAGCAATGAAAAGGATGCAGCAGGTTGTGAATCTGGAGCATGGGGTTGAAGCTCTCTAGACACTAGCCATTGAGGCAAATGCATTGCTAGCCAAGGGGCCTTATCTCAGTAGGATACATCAGTGTTTCTTTGGATCTCACTGATTTTCCTTCACCGTGCTGGACTGATAAGCAGTCGCAGGGACTGCTGGGAACTGACTGAACTTATAACACACACTGAGAAAGCCATCACTTCGCTCCCTGCCCTCATGCTGTTTGCTGCCAGGTGAGAGTCCTGGCTGGGCTTCCCGATCCTACCTGCAGTGCCGGAGCTGAAATGTGCTCAGACCCTGCGTGAGGATGGGTCACCATCACTGCACGTGTGACGCTGTGCACGTGTCATTCACCGTGTGGCATCAACCCAAAAGACGTTCGAGACATGGGGCAGGTCTGTTAAAAGGGAAAGAAAGGGCAGGCCTGCCCCTTGAAGAGGGATGGCTAGCAGCCTGACAAGGCCAGAGGTCCCCTGGTCCTCGTGAAGGATGATCTCCAGAAAATGTCCCAGTCCAGAGGAGACTGGCTGGGATATTGGGCTCACTGGCCAAATTGGCGCCTGAAGCAACCATCAGGGATCTGGAAGGTGTGGGAAGGTTTTTCTTGTCTCCCTGAGTTAAAATACAACTAATTCTCTCTCTGGATTTGACTGTTTCTGCCTCTTTGCAAAGGCTGGCACTTTGCTCCATAATGAGAGAGACGCGCCCACACTTCTTGTAGCTTTTCTTGAATCAAATGCGGCTCATTTGTTCTTCCTCTAGGTCCATCCGCTGTGGTGGAACGATCCACCTATGCCATCAAGGTCCCCCTTGGAAAACCACAGGCCCAGCCTTATTAAAAGCAAAACAAGAGGAAAACTCATGTATTTCTCATGAGAGCCACCCCACCGGCGCTGGCTTCCAAAGTGGGGAGCGGCGCGCGCTGGTTTGCACGTGCATTTTGGTCTCTGTGAGCGCTGGTTGGCAGCAGGCACCCCAGGTTTCAAACTGAGTGCAGATGAAAGCGTGCCAACCACCCCAAGGGTCGGGACTCGAGGAGGGGCAGCGGAGGGGGAAGCATGGACCGCGAAGGGTCCAGAGTACCGTCTCGGTCTGCGCGTGAGCCCTTGTAGGGAACGTGGGAGGAAGGAGTCCTTGCAGGGTCTGCACTGAAAAGGGGAGGGCTTGTGGAGCAAATGGAAGAGCAATGCAGACTAGCAGCCATTTGGGGGGCAGAAGGTAGTATGGACAGGATTCAGAGTGAGCAGAAACATCCCCAAGAAGGCACGAGGTGCCCCATCACAGCTAAGGAAGAAATCCCCCATCTCCGGTCCATCGGCCTCCCCCGGCTGGTGCATTAAGCACAAAAACTGGGTTGCGCCCAGCGCTCAGATGTGGGGTTTCTGCACCCAGAGAAGCAGCGGCTGGACTCTGTGTCCTTCCGTCCACGCAGGTTGCAGAGGTGGCTGCCTTGCAGCGAACCCCTCTTGCAAAGCAAAGAGAGCCCAAGAAAGCAGGCAAGATGCGCGGTGAAGAGAGGTCGGTGAAGAGTTGCCTTCTGTGGAGCAGCACTTTTTAGCACCGGCTCCTTGTCCCGCTTGCTGCTGTGACCCTCTCCTGTACACAACATGGTTTTCAGGCTTTAGCTAAGAGCTCAGGGGCAAATGACCTCCTATTTGCACCTTGCAGAGTGGCCGAAAGAGCGGGGAGACAGCAGAGGAAACTCTGCTATGGGGAGAAGATGCTAACCGGTATGGCTGCCAGAAACCAAACTTGCACCCTTCGCTCCCAGGCCAGCAGCCTCAGAGACCAGCATCTTCTCACTCAGAAATGAGCTGATCTGACCACAGAGTTTCCAATTACACCTGGCCTCCTGGGGCCCACTGGGCTGGTGGCAGCTCTTGCACGGACAGCTAACATGCTTAGGAAACTGCTCGGACCAATTTCCAACTCCCTTTATTATCTACCTTGGTATCCATGTGCTTCTCATCACCGAAGGATTGACCAGCAATCGCTGACCGGGACACTTATGTCAGGCAAATGAACCCAGGTGAGATAGGTCTTTGATTTGCAAACAAAAAACTCTTGGAAGGTGAAACATCTCGGCATTGGGCTCTGGATGGCGTTCAGGCAGACGGACACGAAGGACTTGCAGACAGGATGCACGCTGCTGCCACTCAACCGCAGAGACCCAGAAATGCCAGCTGTAACTGGAAGGTTTATTTCTAAGTACAACGTATGGAAAACATGTATGTAGAAAATGTCGTAACAAATCCCTGGCCAAGTGGGACACCGTGGTTGTCACTACGCCGCACGCCACAGCCATCCAGAGCTTCATGCAACAGAGGGGACGGGGCCTCGGGACAGCACCCCACCCATTTCAGCGACAGGAGAGTCCCCGCTAGTGGTGGAGGGGCTATGATACACCTAGGTGAGCTGGTTGGGTTGCATCCAGCCAAACAGTGTGGTGCCCATTCCCACTGACCAGTTCGTTACCCTCTCGGGTACGGACGGGACTTGGTGCTTTAGCGGGCTTCACGAACACGGATGCTCACAACCCCCCTGTGAGGTAGGTAAGTATTATTGTCCCCATTTTGTGGATGGGGAGCTGAGCCAGAAGGTTCAGGAACTTGTTCAAGGCTACAGAGAGTCAACGGCAGAGCGGGAGTGAGATGATGCGCCCGGACCATGCCTCTCTTTCAGGCTGTGAAAGCCCCGATGCATGTCCACAGCCTGCTCGCCCCGATGAAAGGACAGGTTTTTCCTTACTAAATGTCAGGGGAAGGTGGGGGAGACCTGGGGGACTGATGTTATGGCCAATTGCCTGCCCATCTGCACCACAAGTGTCCGTCAACACGGCGATCGTTTGCTTCAATTGCACTTTGCTATCCCTGGCCGTGGGAGCAGCCCGACGAAGGACACGCTCCCTCCAGCACCTGTTTTGGGGAGCTGCTTCTAGGGCCTCTCCCCCAGCACCCAAAAGCACTCTTTCGGCAGACCGCAAGACAGGCCAAATACTCCCGGGGCTGCCGGCCCCCGAGATCATCTCCGTGCATGCGGCTCTTTCAGGGTAAGCCCGTTTTGGGTCATTTAGGACAGAGCTCAGCTCTGCTTCTGCGCCTCGTCTCACTCCTCATCTGCCATAACCCCTGTTTTGGTGTAGTTTGGTATTCAAAGGGACACTGTCAAGTAATCGAGGCCTAAAACGGGACCTCCCGTAAAACACCACTCTCGTCGGTGCTCTACATCACTGGAGGGCTGGCAGGTTCAAGTCTGGGTGCCATAAATGAGGCAATGGGAATCCACGGGCAGGGCCCAATTCAGCTCTGCCTGCTTTCCAGAGGTGCTGAGCCTCCAGCGGACGCTGTGAGAGGTGTGCTACCAATCTTACGGCGAAGACTGGTAGCACAAAACCTGCAGCTCAGCCCGTCTGAAAAATCAAGCCAATGTGATTTAGGCGCTTCCAATTTGGCTCTGGGTGGCCAGCGGCCAGACTTGGGGGCTGAAATTGTGACTGCCATTCCTCCAGACCTAGTTAATGCCCGATATTGGTACTGGTTGTTGGTCCGCTGATGAGAGGGTAACAAGACAGCTCTGCTCCTCGGGGCTGGGGCACGCGTCTTCAGGGATGCCAGGGCACGTGGAAAGGACGTAAACCGTGTGCGGCCACGTTTGACACCCGGTTACAGTACGAGGGGAGGAAGGGGGAGGAGGAGGAGGGAGAGAGGTGGAAGGGAGTGGCATGAGCGGAGGTGGGGGAAGCGGGGAGAAGAGCGTATGTCAAATGGAAAAGGACAAAATCAGTAGGGAAAGAAATTTTATTTTCAAGCTTTTAAAGAGAATATTACAAACAATGGAGAGTAATAAAAAAACCCTAAAAACTATTTAAAAAGTACTTGACAGTGTCCCTTTAATACCCACAAAGGATTCAGCCGTTGTGCATTGAAAGAGAGCGTTCTTGAAGAGCAACTGGCACCTCCACGGAGAAGTCCTACGAGAAGGACACTTATTAAAAGTGTAATAAAGTAAGGTAGGGACTGTGCTCCCTCTGAAGACTAAAGTCTCTGCTGAATGACTGAATGGCATAGACTAGACGATGAGCTAACAAACCAGAGACTGAGGGCTTAACCTAGAGGACCAAGAGAGACTCTGATGTGGGGATACACACACCCGAAAAAACAATACGTGTCTGATGAGTGGATGAATCGCTGGCGCAGGAGAAACCCTGAGGGGCTGGGCCTGGCCCTACGCGTTCAGCCGGGGGCAACGGGAGGAAGGTAACCTGGAAGTCGGCATGGAAGATGGTTTCCATGAGTGAGAAAGGTTGGGCGCTCAGTTTGGGGTCATGAAAGCATAAATCACACCAGGACTTGTGCTTGAAAACGCCCGCCGAACATTTCTGTACAACATTCACCCAAAACATCCAAAGGTCAGTCACACAACTCCCCTCCCAGGCCCCCCACCCCAGAGCCTCCTTTGGTGGGAAACTGTGAAATCAGGGGGGTGGTTTTGGTGAAATTTGGAAGGAATTGCCTTTCTCTCTCTCTCTCTCTCTCTCTCTCTCTCTTTTTTAAATCAATACTGAAAATCCCAAGCCATTTCATTGGAAATATCCCATCACAAACAGTACAGGGCTCCAGAACGATGTAGGAAATACAACGACTCCCATCCCTGGGTCCCCTGGTTTGACAAATACTCCAAAATACTTTGCTTCCTTCACTCCCTCCGGTTGCCGTCATCCCACTGCGTGCGGGGCGTGCGCGCGTGCGTGCGTGTGTGGATGTATGTAGAAAACGAACGTTACCCATCCCAGGTAATAAAACTTGTAAGACATGCTAATACCAGCTGTTCCTCTGTGTCCCCCCAAACCTCTGCCTCCTCAGTTTTTAGTCTGTATTGCACTTGTTTTGTTGGTTGGTTTTTTGTTTTTTTTTCTCGTGTTTTAATATTTACTGGCTGGAAAAAAAATGAACCTCTTCAGCATGGGTGCGCGGCTCTGCCTCTCCCTCCTCCTCCCTCCTCAGTTGGCCACGTGTCGTGTATACGCCTTGTGCAGCTACAAAAAAGAAAACAGAAAGAAAGGAAAAAAGAAAAAAAGAAAGAAAAAGGCACACCATGCTCCTCTGCGGTAGGGTTCCTTGTCTCCTCTGCTTCGTGTTAAGGCCTCCTGAAATCTTAGCTCAGACCGTCGTAACCCTCATGACGAGCTCCCTGTTAGTGCTAGATTGGCTCCTCTGTTCGTGAGGCCTCAGGTGGCTGAGTATATGCAGGATGGTATAAGCACAGTGGTGGTCAGAGAGGGTGCCCGTGGCATGGCCGGTGCCCCGAGCCCCGTTGTCGGCGGGAGTGGAGTTGCTGGCTGCACCACCGGTGGAGGACGAATGGTTGGTTTGGGAAGAGGGTCGTTGGTTTGTCCTGGTCCCTGTTTTTTGTTCCTCCATGTCCTTTGTTTTGTCATAGTTCAGCACTTTCCACTGCTGATTTACCGCCTGCCACCGTTTAAAAATCCGGTAAACTGAGGGCCCTTCATGGATTATTAGACCTGGAGGGAGGGGGGAGATAAACAACAGAAAGAAACTTTAGAAAGAAGATATCATCCTCTCCCTGCCCCCCGTCACTCCCTCCACTTGCTTGCTCAGTGGTCCGTGAACGTACCTCTCTTAGTCAGTGTTTATTCTATGATAAATCAAGGTTTTTAATTACTGCTTGGCAGGGCACCAGCCCTCTTGCTCAGCTGGACCTCTTTCCACCTGAATTAAATGCACGGCAGTTTTATCTCAGCAGTCAATAAACAGGTCGTGAGTGTGGAAGGATGAGATATTCTGTCCAGCAAAATAATATCCTCTGACTAGTGCACGCCTGGCCTCGCTGTGCATGAATCACTGGGTTAGAAACCTGGCGGGGAAGAGGAGCTGGGATCGGTGTGGGGTTGCATCAGCCTCCTGCGTGCACCAGTCCAACCTGGAGAAAGGCAGTTGTGGTCTAGGGCAGAGCAGGGCTGGCAAACAAGATCTTTGGACTCTGTTCCTAAGTCTCCTGGACTTCCAGTGGACAAGGGACTTGACTCGGTTGACCTCACTTGGCTCAATTCCCTCGTCTGCAAAATGGGGATGTAACGCTCTTCATACATGATACTCACTTATGAAGAGTGCTCTGATATCAATGGATCAGAGAGGATCACGTGAGCAAATTATCATCACCGATATTGCACGTGCGCGTGACTGGTGTGTGTCTGCACCAGTATCCCCTGACCTAGCATCAGCAGTGGTGGTATGGAGGGCTTCTCTCCTGCTTACAGCAATGGTCTGTGACTAATCCTAACTTTCTGATTCCTGAGATACAGGGCAGGCTAGTTCCTGCCTCCATGCATCAGTTATCTTCTCTGTAAAATGGGAGCATTCATGTATTCATCTCTGTAAATGGGGCTGCAGGAATAGGTTAATATTTATAAATCACTTGGGAAAAATGAGTTACTCAAGGGCTAAGGATTATTATGATGATGATGATGATGATGATTATGATGATGATTATTATTACTGGATTATTTATTTGCTCCAGTACTGTGGAGAGTGGCATGGTTTAGATATCTAGTTGACTTAGATTTACACACACACACACAGAGTCATCCCTGTCTGTTGAGCTTGATAGAAGCAGTGACATCATAAATCATATTGGCTTAGTCAATGCATTAAAACACTATTAATCAAGCTAAACTAGAGACTTTGTCCAAAATGTTTAATTTAAGGCAGGGTCGTATACAAATCTAACCTTGCTGGATGTTAGGGTGTGCGTCGGTTCACCCATTACAACAGCACGGTGAAGGTGTTTCCAGCTGATGGACTAATACTAAGTTGGATCAGTGTGGAGATCATTCAGTATAGTGACAATTTTTTACCTCCTTCTGGGCCAAAGTTAAGCTTCTCAGAGGAGATCCCTGCCTTTGGGATCATCCACAGTTTACCAGCCCAAGAGCTTTCAGAAGCATGAATGCAACAGCAAAGATTTTACAGAAATCTTGACGCAGGCTCGACCAGTTGGATTTCATGATGGGTTTAATGTGCACGCAAGTGGAAGTCACTGGAGTGTAAGGTGATTTAGCGCCAGCATTGATGAACTGAACCTAATCACTTTGTCCTCAGTCCAGCATTTTCCCAGAGCTACGCTTTCCTGTTCTACCGGGCACGTAACGACCTCCCCTGGCACATGAGAGCCGGCTGTTGTGGGGGCCACCAGCTGGTCGCCTGTCTCGTTCGGACACGCGAGGCAGCAGTCAACATTTATGGCAACGGCACATGGCAGGAAGGACTTGTCTTCCACCAGGTCAGCTCTGTAGGACGGTCATCGTCTATCACGGTAGACTGCCCAGCACAACGGGCCGTGACCTGGCTGAGGCCTGCAGAGATGACTGCACGGCGATGCAGATGAATAGCAACAACACACTCAGGAAGATAAGAGCTGCAGCCAAGAAAAAGACCAAGGGTAAAACAAATGGCTCAGGGGGCAAATTGACCCAAAGGCTTGGTAACCTCATGTAATCCACAGACAGAATCAAGAAAATTCAGGTTGGAAGGGACCTCAGGGGGTCACATCTAGTCCAGCCCCAGCTACATCATCCCAGACAAGACTTTCTCTTTCCAGGTCTTAAAAACCTCCAAAGATGGGGATGCCACCACCTCTCTGGGGAGCCTGTTCCAGTGTTTTACTACCATCCTACTTTAAAAGTTGTTCCTAATATCCAACCTCAACTTCCCTTGCTGCAACTTGAGCCCATTGCTCCTTCTGTCATCTGCCCCCACTGAGACCAGCCCAGCTCCATCCTCTTTGCAGCCCCCCTGCAGGGAGGTGAAGGCTGCTATCAAATCCTCCTCAGTCTTCTCTTCTGCAGACTCAGTCAGCCCATTTCCCTCAGCCTCTCCTCACCAGTCCTGTCCCCCAGCCCCACAACCATTTTCACTGCTCTCCACTGGACTCTCCACCCTGTCCATATCATTTCTGTAATGGGAGGACAAAAACTGGACACAGGACTCCAGATGTGGCCTCACTCACCAAACATAGTGGAAAATGTTAGATAGAGCAGAAGGACACGTGCCTTCAGAGCATGGAGGTCTGCTGATTTGCAGGAGAATATGCCCATCCCCTCATGACTGAATCTGCTCATATAGATACCATAACTAACACGCACATGCACAGCTGTGATTGATGCACTTCCACCACCAATCCCACCTTTCCAAAGGGGTATAAGAGAGTCGTCCCACCCCTGCAGTGCTGGGCTTACTGGTGTGCAATGTGGCAACGTTAGAGCCATGGGACCCTCTTAGTGGAAGTCAAAACCACGTGGGATCCAGCCTCCTGGGATTCCCAGCAAGCCAGAAGCAAAATATTCACGTGGGCGCAGCGAGAGAATGGTAAAAGTGGGCAACTTTGATTGAATTATGCTTTGATTTGGAGGCCCAAGTCCAAACTGGTAGTCAAAGCAAGACTGGGGCTGTGGACAGACATGAAGATGTGGGTTAGATATTAGGAAAAACTTTCCCATGAGTAGGGTGTGGAAGCACTACCCAGAGAGGTGGTGCAATCTCCATCCTTGAAGGTATTTAAGACCCAGGTGGACAAAGCCGTGGCTGGGATGATGTAGCTGGGGCTGGTCCTGCTTGGAGCAGGGGGGTGGACTTGATGTGACCCCCTGAGGTCCCTTCCCACCATTTTCTATGATTTGATGAAACAAAGAATATGTTCAGGACATCCTGTGACTGGGGTTTGAACTAAGACATCACCCCTTTCCTGTGAACAGATCAGCTGGTGTAGCATTTAAGCTCAGTTTGAAGTGAAATTAGGTTTCCAGTCCTCCCGGTGTGAGGAAGCCTATCCAAATTTGACCTGCTACATAAACCCGTCCAAATACAATCCCTTGCAGCACTACTTCGATTCTGAAGAAACAACATGAGGACGGCTTCATTCACCTTAATGTGGTGCTAACTCCGAGGCTGCATGACAATACAAATGTTTGGCCTGGTAAGCGCTTCCTTGCTCGTCACACTGAATATTAACACCTGGCTGTCCTGAAATAAGGCAGGATCACCACTGATGGCAGCTGTGAAAACCTCCGTGGTCTATAGGACGCAAAGTGGGAAAGAAGTCAGTGATACTCTCTAAACCCAACTCTCAATCTTAGCTCCTGCCAAACACCCTGGGGTCACGGCAGAAAACGATTTTCTATTCCCAGCCCTGAAATGTAGGTGACATCTTTCAGCATCTCTAGGATCAAAGAACAGAGCCAGGAACAGCAGGACACCTGAGGACACTTGGGACCGACTACAGGCCCAGGCATGGCAGCAGAGACCTTTGAAGCAGGTCTCAAGGGGATAGTCTCTGCCAAGGGATGTTAGGAATATATTTAAATGAGTTATCAGAGTCCTAAATATGAACAAAATCTCGCCCTGAACAACAACAGATTCAGTGCGTCATTGAGATCCTTCTCGGCCCTGGATAAAAGAAACCAAATCAGGCATTTCCTCCAGAGCCGTGTTGCGCCTCTGTGGGATCAGATCCAGTTTCCCAAGTGTTAAGCGCGGAGACGGGAGTGTAAATCTATTCTTAATTAGCTTATCAGAAATATTAAAATGAGCAGCCTGATTCAAGAGGGTTGTTTTTAAAACTCTTGTTTGTTTGTCTCTTAATTATAAATGTGTATGATCTTACGCAATTAGCTGTGTGATGCTGATGGCTGGGCCGCTGAGTCGGCCAAGCACCTGTTTGCTCAGATAATTCTGCCTTCAAAATATTTATAAAAGTGCAAAATAACTTGTTTTCCTCTGTATTTGCCGGGCTTTAAATTACTTATCGATTTTGCCGCGTGGAGCTCAGGAAGCTGTAAAATTAAAAGGGAACAGAGCAAAGGGGAGGCAGAAGTAACGGTGATGCATTTGCAACAGTAAATGCCAAGAGTGAGCGAGAGTCGGTCTCAAGTTGTGAGAAGTTTTCTAGGGCTGGTCAAACACATTTGGCCTGTTTGAGTTAAAATATGACAACCTGAATGCCTGCAGGCAGCTTCGTGGAAAGCCCTTCCAGACATACCATCGCTCTGAGGACAACCCTGTGTTAACGGAGGGCAATCTTCCTAATGTACGGCTACATCTACCTGGAGGAGCCTGCAGAAGGGGCCTAATTCTGGGAAAACTTCCTGAGTTTCCCATAGACCTCTCCACCAGGCAAAGCAGGCAGCAGGGGCTCTGCTCTCAATTGCAGACGTCCTACAGGGAAACTTTCTGGACCGCTGCATGCTTGTGGTGACACAGGGGCTCTGCGCCGCTCCCGCATCTCTGCCATCTCCAGCACTGCAACGTGGCCTCCTCCTGATCCCGATTTAATGCTGCTTCGAACCGCTTCCTCTCCAGGAGGGAAATCTTCGTGACCTTGCAATGGGCCGAGTCCTGGTTCCCGCTCTGCTATGTCTCCAAAGAGGCTGCTGCAATGAAAAGGCTGCTCTTGGTGCCGTTCCCACCTTTCGTAAGTGGGGGGACCTGTTCTTTCCAGCCAGTCAGC